AAAGCTTTCGGTAACGCCGACAGCCGCATAGGCATGTAATTAGCGCTATCGAGAAATTTTGTCCGTCCCACGGTTAGTAATACAATTTTTGTCCCATTTAATATTATTTTCGGCTCGTCCGTCCTACCGCTCTCGACCATGAACTGCGAGTCGAACGCCGCCGCATTGTGCGCGATACAGATGAAGCGGAAGAAACGCTTTGTCGTTCTCGTTGCAAAATCGACGAATTGTTTTACCGGATCATCGCGAAATACAAATTCGCGCATCCCGCACCAACGACATCGCGACGCCATATCGTCCTCTCCCAGGCAAGCTTCGCACGTTTGCTGCGCGACGCAGAGAGTGACTACGTGCGTTTTAACGTTCGCGCACCCTTCGAGCATTTCTTCTTGTCGCGTCTCGAAGTCGTAAAATATAAACGCGGCGCGACCCTTCCGATCTGTTCTCGCATCGTCGTCGTCATTATCGTCGTTATCACCGGTCTCGTCGACATTTTCGAGTTTTTCGCGTTGACCGATGGCGATACGCGACCCCCTCGAAGCGGTCGTATGAAACACAGGTGATTCAGCGGTTTCGACGCGCAACATATGCGACAATAAGCCGCGCCGTACGCGTGTTTTGCGCCCGATCTTTTCAAACGCCCGCAATCGCTGCAAAATCTCACGGCGTCGCAAACACTCGATGACGATTTGCCGCCATAAGATTTCGGCGCGCGATGACATTCGAAACAGCTCTCGCCGTAAAACACGCGGTTACACGCGTCGCAGCCGATCAATCGCGCGTCTAGCTTCTCGCGCATCGGCGCACCGAGGCATCGCGGACACGTATTTGAGCACCGATGACCCGTTTCACGACGGTAACTTTTGTTACAGGGAACACAATAATATCTACTAGCCGAGGCTGCTTTTAAATTTAAAATAGGCCTATAATGCCGCGAGCGATCGTAATACATTATATTTAATGTATACTTGGCTATAAGAGAACAAGAGACTAGCGTCGAATGTCCGTCATATAACGGAGGGACTCCGCGACCGAAACTCTTGAAATTATAAACGACAATCGCGATATTTTCTAGCGAGAGAAGCTGCTGAAAATGCTCGATCTCCGGGATGCCGCATCCTTCCTCGGGTATAACTATACCGGCGTTTCTCGTTAGTTCTTCCGCCAAACGTCTCTGCAGTGCGGAATATGGGTGTTTTATGTTTTCCCATTTTCTATGAAATTCGCTCGTACGTACTGTACCGCGTTCGCAATAAACACGAGCCGCGACGAGGGAGCGCGGGAGACACATATTATCCCGATTATTTATATTTAAAATCGAGTGTTTTACTACATCTACGCGCGTTAATTTATTCGATTTTCCTCCTCGGCCCGAAGGCACCCCGACATTGTACACAGTTATTAAAAAGCGTTCCGCGATATCGTGACCCCCCGGCGCTCTGCGCTACCGAGCTTACGAGGCCCCAGATATCCTCGTGAGTCAAGTCTCGCACCGGGCGAAACGATAAGCCGGCCGGCCCGCGTGTTAAAGCCGTCGAGGTGAAAAACAGCCCCACGTAATCGCTCGCGTTAGCGGAATTAACAGCGTAAGAATAGATTTCGCGGAACGCGTTTTTTAAATGTTTAGCGATGTCGGTGC